AAGCCATCTTGAAAAAGCAAGTCTTCAGTGTAGATTTGAAGATTTTTACTAAGCTTGCGTTTCTAATATCCTGAACAGAATTCCAGAGATTAGGAGCTACAGAAGAACAATATCCATCTCCTGGCTGAACAGCAAGAATGACCAATAAACCTGCCTCTGCTGGACAAAGTGCACGAGATGGACTAATAACACTTTAAACGATCTGTAAGACGTCCTGGTTACACCATTTAGAGTGTTATACGTCATTAGCGGGACAGAGGTGGCCAGTAAAAACAGTATAAAACGTTTTATGCACGTTATATGAATGTTTTATACATTTATTTTACAATACAGTGTTTTATACGAGTGTGAATTGTTCTTGCTGACAGTCTGAGCACAGGTCTAAATGCACAGGTCACTTCAGTCACTTCCTGTCCAAACAGTCTGACAGTAGTGTGTTTGATGCACCCTGACAGTTCATAGACTCAGAGACACTCATATTAAAATCTTTAGACGGTTTAACCCTCGAGGCCCCACAGTGACCTCGGCTGGCCGCTCTGCGTTTCACTGTAACGTTTTTACAAGTCAAGAGGCTTTTATTGTCATTCCATCTATGTACAGTACACAGTGGAGCGAAATTACGCTCCTCCAGGAACAACACGGTGCAACAAGGAACAAAAAGTACAACAGAACAAAAGTACAAAATTACAAGGTGTGAACGTGCAGACAGTGTGCAAACAGAAATTAAGCAAAAAACAATACAATAAATTAGACATTAGACACAGTAAACAGACCGGACAGTGTAGCACCGACACAGCACATATTTCTGGACATGAGGTAGTGGAATAAGGTGCAGACATATGAAACATGCTGTGATCTGTAAGTTACGTCAGATAACATACATAAACACAGCAGATTACTGAGGTAGTAAAACAGTGTAAACACAGTATTGGCAGCAATGTTCCAGATAGATGCAAGTAGAGCATCAAAAGAAGTGTGTGTGTGTATGAGTGTGTAAGGGGGGGTTTAGTTCAGTGCTTCTGAGTTTAAAAACCTGATTGCTTGAGGGACAAACCTGTTGCAGAGTCTGGCAGTGATGGCACGGATGCTCCGGTACCTTCTGCCAGACGGCAGCAGTGAAAAAAGTCAGCGTGAGGGATGGATGGGGTCGTTCATGATGCTGGTGGCTTTGCGGATGCAGCGTGTGGTGTAGATGTCCATGATGGAGGGGAGAGAGACCCCGATGATCTTCTCAGCTGTCCTCACTATGCGCTGTAGGGTCTTGCGGTCGGAGGCGCCGCAATTCCCAAACCAGGCGATGATGCAGCTGCTCAGAATGCTCTCCACAGTCCCCCTGTAGAACATGGTGAGGATGGGAGGGGGAGATGAGCCTTCTTCAGTCTCCGCAGGAAGTAGAGGCGCTGCTGGGCTCTCTTGGCTATGGAGTTGGTGTTGAGGGACCAGGTGAGGTTCTCTGTGATGTGGACGCCGAGGAACTTGGTGCTCTGGACGATTTCCACAGCAGAGCCAGTGATGGTTAGAGGGGGGGTGGTCACCCCGCACTCTCCGGAAGTCAACAACCATCTCCTTAGTTTTGTCTACATTCAGAGACAGGTTGTTGGTTCCGCACCAGCCTGTTAGCCGCTGCACCTCCTCTCTGTACGCTGACTCATAATTCTTGCTGATCAGACCCACCACAGTTGTGTCATCAGCAAACTTGATGATGTGGTTTGAGCTGTGCTTTGCAGTACAGTCATGAGTCAGCAGGGTGAACAGCAGTGGACTGAGCACACAGCCCTGAGGGGCACCGGTGCTCAGTGTGATGGTGCTGGAGATGTTATTACCAATCTTGACTAATTGAGGTCTCTCAGTCAGGAAATCCAGGACCCAGTTACAGAGGGAGGTGTTCAGGCCCAAGAGGCTCAGTTTTCCAATCAGCTGCTGCGGGATGATGGTGTTGAATGCTGAACTGAAGTCTATGAACAGCATTCAGATATAGGTGTCTCTATTGTCCAGGTGGGTGAGAGCCAGGTGGAGTGTGGTGGAGATGGCGTCGTCTGTTGAGCGGTTGGGGCGATATGCAAATTGCAGTGGGTCCAGTGAAGGAGGAAGCTGGTCTTTAATGTGCCTCATGACAAGCCTCTCAAAGCACTTCATGATGATTGGAGTGAGTGCAACGGGACGGTAGTCATTGAGGCAGGACACTGGAGACTTGTTCGGCACAGGGATGATGATGGTGGACTTGAAGTGAATGACTGCAGTGCTCAGAGAGATGTTGAATATATCAGCCAGCTGTTCAGCACATTCTCTGAGCACTCTGCCCGGTATGCTGTCGGATCCTGGTGCTTTCCGTGGGTTGACTCTGTAGAGTTCTCCACACATCAGCTGTGGACAGACAGAGTACCTGTTCATTTGGAGGAGGAGTGGTTTTCCTCGCCGTTGTGCCGTTCTGTGCTTCAAACCGAGCGTAGAAGTTGTTTAGCGCGTCTGGAAGGGAGGCATCACTGTCACAAGCAGGTGGAGGTGGCTTGTAGTTGGTGATGGCCTGGATGCCCTGCCACATGCGCCGTGTGTCAGCAGTGTTTTGAAAATGTTCATGGATTTTCTTTGAGTAGGCACGCTTAGCCTCTTTGATAGCCCAGGAAAGCTTGGCTCTTGCTATCCTGAGGCTTTACAGTGGTTTAATGAGTGAATTCTGATGGAAAACAATAATTACAATGATCTTCACTTTTAGACTGTTAGATATTCAGTTTTTAATGAAAATAATACAGTTGTCAGTTTGTAATATTTGGTTATAGAGTTTTTTATGACGAATCCCCAAACGAGGACGAGACTGACAGTGTTCGGATAAGGAGGAGTCTGACGGGATCTCAGCTCTCACAGCAGGGATGATGAAGTTCAAGATCCAAGTCTTTGTTTAGTGGAGAGTTTTTGCTGAATGAAGCCAAGCTCTGAATTGATGACTTGGCACGTTATTTCAGTGTTTGATACAAATTTGTATTGATTTATAGTGACATTCGGTCAGCAGTCGGTCATTTGGTTGTTTTCCTTTGTGCCGATGCTGCTTTTCTTTTATTTATCACATTAATCTTTGTGAGTCTTGGGCTGTTTTTGAATCCTTTTGATTTTGTATGTATATACACCACATTTAAGATTAAGATTAAGGGACCCTTATTAGTCCCACAACGGGGAAATTTCACCTCCGCATTCAACCCATCTGTGCAGTGAGACACCACATACACACTAGTGAACACACACACTAGTGAACACAGTGAGCACACTAGCCCGGAGCGGTGGGCAGCCCTATCCACAGCACCTGGGGAGTAGTTGGGGTTAGGGGTCTTACTCAAGGGCACTTCAGTCATGTACTGTCAGCTCAGGGGATCAAACCGGCAACCTTCCGGTCACAGGGCTGGTTCCCCAACCTGCAGATCATGACTGCCCTGAAAAATGTTTACCACGACAATATGCAGTACCTTTTCATACTGCACATCGCCTTTATGACCAGATAATTATTTTTTCACTTTAACAAACTGCATCAACATACTGGACCCAAAAACACACACAAAACACAGAAAATCAGATTTGAAAAATGAACATTTTTTTTCAGTTTCCTCCTATGACAAAAATGATGTAAGGATAAAACGATATGAGGATAAATGATAAATACAACTTCAGCCTCATGCCAGTCTGCATTTACACACATGCACAAATATGATTTTTATATCAAATTTGGATTATCATGTCTCCATTTTGACTTGGTCTCTTAACATCAGACAAAAACCAGCCACAGAATAAGCTTCCATTGACAGCGATGCTCAACATGACTTTTTTAGGCTGTGATGTTTTGGATCAGCCATGAGATTTAATCACGTTGGCGTTTAAAACAGAGATCAATTCACCTCTAACTCTGAATAAAAGTCAGGAATCCACAGGAGTGTCTGAGAATTCTGTTGGGGGTTAAAAAAGGGTGTTAAATAAGCATAAATGAAGAATAAAGAATAAAGGCAGATCTAAAAGCCAAATATTTTAACGGTTTATTATTGGACACTGCTTGAATATGGACTTTTCTCCTTTTACATTCACTCACCATAAAGAAAGAAGTTCACTGACTGTTTCAAAAGCAAAGTCGGAAACTCAGGCTGTTTTTAGTTTGTTTGAACTGCTATGGACTAAATCAGAGTCTATTACACTGTAAAAACCGGCTCATCAGATCAACCTAAATAAATACAATCAATTGAACTAATTTTATTCAACTCAGAAAATTACACTGATTTAAAGAGTTGTTCATTCAAAGTATTTATTAAGTTTGAATAAAACTAGTTAATTTAATTGTTACTGTTTTGTTAGGTTGATCTTAACAGCCATTTTTACAGTGTAGAATCAGCTGTAAAATATAATATTTTTAATAAAAAGAAGAAAACTACTGACTATTTTATTATTTTCAATCTGTATAATTGGATTGTTTTTTATTTTCATTATGAACTTCTGTCCCTGAATCTTTTGCTTTTGTCATTTATCAGTGGAGTTCTCTGGAGCACCTGGAGATCCTGTGCTACATAACTCAGCTGTATTGTTGTTATGATTATTATATAAGTCTTTGATATTTGTTTTGGACAGAGTTTAAGTTTGTGTTTGGATTATTAGATTAGAAACAGATCACTGTGTTTACAGTCAGGCATAAAAAGGTTATTCGACTTTATCTAAAGATCTGATGTACAGAAACGTGTGGGTTTCTGTGTGAGTCTCAGTCGAGCTTCACTAACTACACTGGACCTACAGTTTACTGAGGAATCATGAGGAGTGAAGCTGTTACAGTTTGAACTTCTTTACACTTCAGACTCTGTGTTTACAGCATTTCAGTCCAGAAGTAATTTCAAAAGTAAAGTGTACAAAACAATGAAGCAGTGTAAGTTCACAATTCTTTACATTTACCCCCCCCCCACACACACACACACACACACCCCACCCCCCTCCAGGTGAATGATGTTCTTGTTAAAGATTGACAGAAAGGCCGATGCTGAACCTGTTGGACCGTCAGTGTATCCTGACCTTTATTAATCATTCATTGAATTCACTCTTTTTATCTGTTTAGTCCTCCGTGTGTTCACACTCCACCGGATGACTGAATGTGTGGTGTCCTTGCAGGTGTGTGTGTGTGTGTGTGTGTGTGTGGTGTCCTCGCAGGTGCAGGGTTCTCCTAGTGCTCTCCGTGCCTCAGCAGGCCAGATCCCTGTAAAAATGCCAGGGAACGCTTCCTCTTTTCTCCGGTAACGCTGCGCAGGGGTCCGGATGGAGGCCTGAGAGTGGAGCTGAGCTGAAGGGTCTGAGTTGAGGATGCGTGTCAGTGCAGCAGGAGACAGGATGAAGGATGTTCTGCAGGTGGTCGGGCTGGTTTCAGGTTTTCTGGGCTGCGTGTCCGCTTTCGCTACTCTGCACATCAGCACCTGGAAGGAGTCCTCCGACTTCGACAATGTCATCATCACCTCCAGACTCTTCGAGAACCTGTGGATGTCCTGTGCCGAGGATTCCACAGGAGTTTATAACTGCTGGTACTTCCAGAGTTTACTGGCGCTGCCAGGTGAGAACACAGCTGAGTGAGTGTCCAGGATCCCTGGAACACTGTAAAACTGGCTCATCAGATCAACCTGAAAATCTGAACTAGTTTAATTCAGCTCAAAAACTACTTCATTGAAAGTATTTATTTAGGTTGAATAAAATTACTTGTTACCACATGAAGTTAATTTTTAGGTTGATCTGATGAACCAGTTCTACAGTGTAGCTGATTTAGTGTTACAGTAATACTGTAATGACACATCCGTGTTCTTTGCTTGTTGGGAAGTAATAGACAGTCACCTTTACCTGGTGCTTCAAGTCTAAGCTTTAAACATCTCTGCAGCCTCTCAGACACACGTCCTATAAAAGCCATGTGACTTTCTGCACATTCATAATGTGTTTAAACTCATAAACCTCTCAGAGCTCATTTCCTAACCTCTAACCTCATTTCTGCCACAAACTCATCTACAGCAAACTCCCTGAGAACGGTTCTAGATTTCTACTCTGAAGGAGCTTCAGCTGGAGGTCAGCAACCAGGTTTATAAATCACCACCAATTACTACAAGAAATTAAACCTCTTTGCTGAATGGCAAGAATATTTATATTATATTTTATATTTATAAAACACTTTAACCAGTTAAATGTCCAGAACCCACCAGCAGTTTATCACAAACTTCTATAATCTAAGAACAGCTCAGCTGGTTTGCACTGAAGTCCCTGTAGTTACTGAATAATAAGCTTTAGTGTGTAATAAGCCTGAGATGTCAAGGGGTTAAACCTGTAGAACCGCTGAGGAACAGAGAACCTGAATCTGCTCATCGTCCTGCTGATGTAATATTCAATATAAGTGCATCAAATGACTGTTTAAACTGGTTTTGGGTAATTTCTCCACACATCTTCTTTCTGAAGAGTGCATGGATGCAGGAAGTGAGGGTTTTGAGGGGGCGGCAGCTTCTCCAGGTTTCGGATCCAGAAAGCTGCAACTGAAAAAACACAAACTTGAAATGAATTTGAATGTAGTAAAGATCTATATCTGCTTGTTTTAGACAGGAGTTTGTATTTTTATGTTTTATTGATGTATTAAAAGCTTGCAGTAGCTGCACTGTTTGCATTAAAGTTTACATTAAGTGAGCCGAATTGCTTCTCTCGCCCCCTACTGGCTGCTTTGGGGGTGCGTTACGAAAACACACACAGGCTGAGGTGTAGAAAGGGAAAGTGTGTGCAGAGCTGTAAGACATTTCTGAGCCAAAAAGCAGCCTAATATTGTTTTTAAACTAATAAAAAGATTAATGATGCCCCGCGCTGTGAATACAGATCTGATTGGATGCCACTGAACTCATTTGCGTACATTTGGTCCAGAAGGAGTGAGCAGAGAAATCAGAGTGAGCATCAGCAGTTTAATGTGTCCATTATGTGCGTATGTTGTCTCTCAGTGCGTCGTGTCACGCTCTGTTTCATTGTGAAAAAAATTCAAATGAAAAACAGGTCAGATCATTTTGCATAATGTCTCTGTTCACGTCACCTTTATGCTGCTTTTTTGGTGAAAGTATTTTCACTACAAAATCAGACAAACCAACAGATGAACAGACATCAACAAAGACGCACCATTAATTAAAATAAACTCATTTTAACAGGGTCCTGTTTCAGACTTTTAACAGAATCAGTTCCCGCAGACCAGGTGACCACAGTATCAGCGTTTGCTTGGTTCAGTCCGGCAGCAGCCACACCATAACCAGAACATCTGTAGAATAGAGCAGGGATGTAGATCTTCAGTGCCACTTGCTTCTGCAGGAAATTACAAAACTGCCTTCTTCACTGCTGACAGAGATGCTGTTACTGTTTTCTTCTGACTGAGTTTTAAGTATAACTGTAAAAGAATTTTTATCCACACTAAAAGAGTCTTGCTGAGATAAAAGCTGTTGTTCATGTTTTGACTCAATGTAGCTCCACTTTTTCTTCTTTACGTTCCATCAGAGGTTTGCACCCACCCACCCCAGCAGAAAATCAGAATCATTAGTCCCGCTCCCACCCACCCCAGCAGAAAATCAGAATCATTAGTCCCACCCACCCCAGCAGAAAATCAGAATCAGATCATAGTGATCGTTTTACTTTGTTTAGGTTGCTCATTAATTGGCGAGATTTCTCTCATGTGTGTTTTGTCCCACTCCTGCCTGCAGGGGGCTGGTTTTCTCCCCGCTCTGGCACACAAGCACTGTAAATTAGTCCCACACCGCAAAACACTGTGGTGAAATCCAGACATCTATTTTCCATCATCTGCCTTTCTTTTACAAACACACCAACACTGATCTTTACTGACGATGAAAATTCTGGACTTTTCTATAGTTTCCTGATGAAAATACTAAGCGTTTGCTAATAAACCACAATGTTGTTAGTAAAAAACTTAATATAAAACAACAGCAAACCTGCCTGTTTCTGATATTTCAGTGTCTCTCATCATAACTGACCCTCAGAGAGCCGAACGTCAGGGTCAGTGCAGTTACAGAGTCTGTGTCGGTAAATAAACTGGACTGTGACTGTGGAGAGCTGAAATACAGACTGAGAGACAGTGTGAACCTCACAGAGCATCACTGTAAGCTGTGGTTGTAAATTATATTCTGTTGCTGGACTTTCAGTCCTGGGAAATCAAATAAGTCAGAGTTTGTCGAGTTTGATTCAGATAAGCAGTTCAGAAGAACTGATTCAGTCAATTGGCATTAAAAGCGGAAACACTTTTGGCAAAACGTTCTCAGACTGTGAACACAGTGACGTCTCTGATCAAACACTCTGATCAAACACTCTGACTAAACACTCCGGGGTTTATAAAGCTGTCCAGCGGTCTGGTCTAAAGAGGAGGGCAGGGCGCCGGTTTGGGGGACATTAATCACAGAATTTCAAAGACCTCCCCCACATTAGCAGGCTGTGGTCAGAACCTCGCTCGGCTTCCAAACTGCCCCTGTTTCACGTTCGTTTGGGGAAAAAGCGTGAAGGACTCAAACTGGATGAGCGTTTTGAAGCTGAAGCTGCTGCAGAGCTGATGTTTATTAGTGCAGTTTAAAGCTGTAATTTAAAGCTGTGGTTTAAGGCTGAGCATTGAGCAGTGTGGAGGTGATGGGCTCTGTGCAGCCGGTTCTGGAGGCCCTGTCTCTGGTTTTGGGCTTCCTGGGCTGGGTCCTGTTGGGAGTTTCGCTGCCCAACCGCTTCTGGAGAGTGTCCACTGTGGACGGCAGTGTGATCACCACCTCCACCATCTACGAAAACCTGTGGATGTCCTGCGCCACAGACTCCACTGGAGTCCATAACTGCAGAGAGTTTCCATCCCTGCTCGCACTGTCCGGTATGTGGCCTGCAGAGGACACAGGGCTGGGTCATTGATTAGGATTAGCATCATTGATTAGGGTTAGCGTTAACTCTGGCTGGGTTATTATTGGCATTAGCATTATTAATTAGGCTTGTGGTTACTAATTACCCTGGATAAGTTATAAATTAGTCCATAAATTTAAAGTCTTTAAGCTCAAATTTGTCCTCAGCAGTTCACATCGTCCAGTCCACTGGTCATTCTCGGTCTGCTGAAAAAGGAGATACTGCTGTTGCTGTTGTTGTTGCTCTTCTTCTGTCATTATGGTGATTTACTGTTGTCCAGCGCGGTCACATTACTCAACACGCTTCTCTATTTCAGACACAGACAGCACTTTTATGAACACTCAGATTTATTACAGCTCATTTTATGGTGCCAAAACTTTAAAACTTTGCTCTGGGAAATTAAATATGTCTCAGTAGATCAGCAGGGCAGGTCTGGACATCACAGTCTAACAACACGCTGTGGTCAGGAGACTGGAACAGCTGCTCTTTACACATAAACAGAACATCATCTTATATTCCAAACTGTATTCATACTGAAACTTTTCTGTGATGCTCTCTATGGAACAATGAAACTGTCCATGTTTCTATATTAAACGTTTTCTTAAACTTTTAATCTTTTCTTTTTCAAAACCTTTGCAAAACTGTCCATCTTTTCTATTGAAACTTTGGCAAAACTGTCCATTTTGTCTATTGACACTTTGGTAAACTGTCCATTGTTTCTATATAGAGTTTTATTGAACTGTCTTGTTCTTTTGAAAGTTAATCTAAGTATATATTTTCCTATTTAAAGTTTAGTTAAATTGAAAGTCTTTTCTACTGAAAGTTTGATTAAACTGCCTTTGTGTGATTGAATGATCACAGGTTATATCCAGGCGTGTCGAGCACTCATGATCGCGTCTATCGTGATGGGAATGTTTGGGCTGATCTCCACGCTGGTGGGAATGCAGTGCTCCAAAATAGGAGGAGAGAATTACGTCCTGAAGGGAAGAATCACTGCAGTTGGAGGAGTGTTCTTCATTCTGCAGAGTAAGAGCGCCCCCTGCAGGGCTGGGGGATATTAAATTTTTCTCTGCAGGTGTCATTGACATTTATGTGGAGCCAAAGCTCAGAAATGTCAGAAGTGCATGACCAGAGTAGCCCCTGAAAAAGCTCTGAGTTTAGGAAATGTCAGAGTCGTGTGTGAAAGGATCTGTGAAGGTCAGAATGAGACTGAGGGCCTCATTTCTAAAGTACTAGGAATTAAAGTGGAATTCAAAATGTGAAATGAGAGTTAAATCACTGAATGTTTCGCTTTGCAGGTCTGTGCACCATGATCGCTGTTTCATGGTATGCGTCCAACATCACTCGGGAGTTCTATGACCCCCTCCATGATGGAACCAAGTGAGTGTTTCTTTCAGCACTGATGATGAAAACTGTCCAGTGCAGTTAGTTTCAGCAGAACTTCACAGCTTTAAATGTGTTATTGTTGATCTTACTGTTCACACCAGATGGCTCAGAGCTGGACAGACTCACTGTGTCATTAGAAACAGTGAAATACATTCAAACACTAAAATGTATTTCAGAATATATTGTCATATAAACCAAATATATTTTAAAATACATTTATTTTAGAATGTATGAGAAAATATTTCACATAAACAAAAATCAATGTATGCAAATATGTTTATCAAATATGAAAATGTATGAAAATATCCAGAATCCTGTCTGATGCTCTTCACTGTCTGATACCTTTAGAAATGAATCTTCATTTTAAATCTGATCAGATGATCCTTTAACAGGACAGAAGCGAGTGTTGTGGGTATTGATACTCTGTGAAAATGCAGTTATGATCTGATATCTTGTTTATGTGAAATACATTGTGTGTGAGAGTCTGACTGCAGACGTACATGGTTAATGTAAAGTACAGTGCAGATCACAGAAGAACGTTTAGTTACATCTGGAACCTTCATTACACTCAACTGAACACAGATAATAACTAATACTGATAAACACACTAAATATATATTTAACACATTCTGGCTATTTTTATACATATTTATACATATATTTTTATACAGATTTTTAAAAATATCTTTGATAAACACATTTGGACTATGTGTTTCTCTGTGTGGGTGCTGTGTGCAGGTATGAGATCGGGGAGGGGCTGTACATTGGCTGGAGTTCAGGTACGCTGGCTGTGATTGGAGGCTGCTGTTTGCTGTGTTCCTGCAAAGTGAAGAGTAAAGAGGAGAAAGTGTGAGTTCATCTTTATGCTTACATTATTTCTTCCTTCATTAAAGCTGTGAGAGGCTGTGTGTTACTGCAGTGTTGTCATGGGGTCAGGGTGTTGTTAGGCACGACACGAAGCAGAGTAGAATATTAATGAAGGAGCTGTTTAGCATGTTAGCTAGCTGACCAGCCTAGTTCTAGTTAAGAAAACACGCTCCTCAGTTTAAACAGAACCGGGTTCTTATTTCATCAGTACACTCGGTGCTCCACATGAGCAGCATCAGAGTCAGAAATTATTCATTAACAGCAGGTTTTCTGCAGCGCAGTGATACAGAGCTCAGGGGTCATGAGGTGGTCAGTGTGCGGATATAATGCTGCAGACTGGCTAAACAGGCGTTGTGCTGAATTCTGACTCCCTGCAGAGTCTCACTAACATCAGCCTCACAACAGATGACTCTTCAAGTGATTTGACTGTCGCAGACAAATTTCCAATGTGGGAATAAAATCGTGAGAGTCTCGCTGGAGCGGCGTTGCACTCGCGCCATCGCGATCGTTTGGTGTGAGGAGGTCAGGATGGCTGTATTAACTCAGGGCTTTTCTCATCTTGCTGTTCTGATAAAATCAACCGTGTTTAATATTATCATTAGTTTTAAGTCTCAGTTTATGCAAATAGTGACATGTCGGGGTGCGCTTGAGAGAGAGAGAGAGAGAGAGAGAGAGAGAGAGAGAGAGACACAGAGAGAGAGAGAGAGAGAGATTACAGAAATAGAGGGAGCGAGAGAGAGAGAGACAGAGAGAGAGAGTACAGAAATAGAGAGAGAGAGAGAGAGAGAGAGAAACTACAGAAATAGAGGGAGCGAGAGAGAGAGAGAGAGAGAGACAGAGAGAGAGAGAGAGAGAGAGAGAGAGAGAGAGAGAGAGAGATTACTGAAATAGAGAGAGAGAGAGACTACAGAAATAGAGGGCGCAAGTGAGAGAGAGAGATTACAGAAATAGAGGGAGTGAGAGAGAGAGACAGAGAGAGAGACTACAGAAATAGAGGGCGCAAGTGAGAGAGAGAGATTACAGAAATAGAGGGAGTGAGAGAGAGAGACTACAGAAATAGAGGGAGCGAGAGAGAGAGACAGAGAGAGACAGAGAGAGAGAGTACAGAAATAGAGAGAGAGAGAGTGAGAGAGAGAGAGAGAAACTACAGAAATAGAGGGAGCAAGAGAGAGACAGAGAGAGAGAGAGAGACAGAGAGAGAGAGAGAGAGAGAGAGAGATTACAGAAATAGAGGGAGCGAGAGAGAGAGAGACAGAGAGAGAGAGTACAGAAATAGAGAGAGAGAGAGAGAGAGAGAGAGAGAGAAACTACAGAAATAGAGGGAGCGAGAGAGAGAGAGAGAGAGAGACGGAGAGAGAGAGAGAGAGAGAGAGAGAGAGAGAGAGATTACTGAAATAGAGAGAGAGAGAGACTACAGAAATAGAGGGCGCAAGTGAGAGAGAGAGATTACAGAAATAGAGGGAGTGAGAGAGAGAGACAGAGAGAGAGACTACAGAAATAGAGGGCGCAAGTGAGAGAGAGAGATTACAGAAATAGAGGGAGCGAGAGAGAGAGACAGAGAGAGACAGAGAGAGAGAGTACAGAAATAGAGAGAGAGAGAGTGAGAGAGAGAGAGAGAAACTACAGAAATAGAGGGAGCAAGAGAGAGACAGAGAGAGAGAGAGAGACACAGAGAGAGAGAGAGAGGGGGAGAGAGAGAGGGAGAAATTGTGCGAGAGCCTGAAATCTCTGTAAAAAGTTAAATCTGCTCCACTTTAAAACAAAAACCATATTAACTGTAAAGTGTAAACTGTTTTAATATTTCATGTGTAAGAGTGATTTGAGGAAACGTGCAGAGCACTTTAAGAACTGCATCACTGACGAAGCACCACTTTTCACTGTTACAGTCGTTTCTGAGTCAGTTTTTTATGGTTCAGTTCATGTTTTGTTGATGTATAAATCTTTATATTAAATAAAAAGTATCGGCACATTTTTCAAATTCTGGGTGAAGATCTGACTATAGAATATAGAATGAAAGGGGTTTTTCTGCTTGTAAATTTTCACCAGGTGCATGATGGGAAATAATCTTAAAAATACAGGTGCAGTCTTGTGATTAGTGATGATGTAAGACCCCCAGGCTCGGACCCCAGTCTGAGACTAAAACTCTGACAGTGTGTTTGGGTGTGAGAGGGAGTCAGAGTTCAGTCTTTCAGAGTCTTGTAATAGTGTTCAGTTGGCGTAACACACATACACTAACTATCCCTGTTTAACATAACCCTTCTTTTTTAAAAGTTGATGAACATAATCTGTAGTGTCCACACACCTGTGTGACGGGGAGTCGGGTTCGGCAGGTAAGACAGACACCTGCACAGTGAAGTTTAGTTCATGTTTATCTCTCACGGTGAGTCACACTGTGTGCTAAACCACGTCTGCAGTCTCCACCTCAGTGAGGTGCGGTTTGAGGGGCTGAGAGACGTTTTTACAAATAGGATTTTGGGTGACTATTGACCTCTAGTGTTAGCAACACTAGCCTTGTAGCTTCAGGGCTAAACCTGGACTCCAAACACGCCTTAGCAGATCAACTGCATAGAGTCAGATTTACTGAATTAGTGCTCTAAACTCGGTTCTGTCTCGGTTCTCCTCCTCCAGTCCGTATCTCCATCACACTTCCAGAGGAGCAGCGTTCACTCCGCCCGCAGCGTCCCGATCCCAGTGCAGCCAGTATGGACGCAACGCTTATGTGTGAGTTCAGCGTCCGTCAGTATAGACAGTTAAACTCTCACCACTGACTGAGCGAAGCTCTGAGCTCAGAGACAACGAGGATGAGGATGAGGAGCAGAGCTGATGTTCTAATGTTCCCCACTGAGGAACTGGAGAAGTGTGAGGAGCTGATACGTCTGATTAACGGCTGTGACTGACCAGTGTGGACTGTTTATCACTCTAAGTGTGTGTAATGTGAGTCCGGTGAGCTTCAGCGCTCCATCATTATCATCATCATCATCATCATCTGCAGAACAGAGATGATCGCTGGAGGATCTGATGGAGCTCAGAGATGGAGATCTGTGTTTTTAGTAAACAGACATTTTTCATCAGAACATTTTTATGAATTTGTAGACGTTAATGTTTAAAATCAAAACACTGTGATTTTACAGGATTTCTGTTTAACACGTATTGATTGATGATGAGTTCTGCTGATTGATTTCAAATTAGTTCAGGTTAAAATCTAGAGTTTAGTAATAAGAACTAATTTGATTCATTTTAATTAAAATCTAATTCTCTGTACATATTAAATTGTATTTTTAGGTCATCTTTATAATAAGACAATTTTTCTTTATATTCTACCATTATCTGTAAATAAGAATTGCAATATTATAATTTTATTTATTCTACCACTTTAGCACTTCAGCAGCATTAAGCACCACTGAGGAGAACTTTTTATTAAAACATGGAAAATATTATTAAGAACTGAATGTTTTTTAGTAACAGATTATTACTGTTATGAAAGAGTTACACCATTGACATTATTACAACATACAACATGGTTTATGACAGTTTTGAGAAGGTTTTGGCCTTAAACTCCATTCATGGTGGAGGGATACATGCAGGGCGCTGTGAGGCAAAATAGTCCCCAAAGAAAACTTATTATTTCAGATTTTCCACTATTTTCCATCATCAACATTCCATATAAACTCAGAAGACTCGTGTAGGTTCACTGGTGGTTCTGGATAGTAAATAAAATGTCTATATTTGTGTTGTAGTCATGGCGACCCCTGGTTCCTATCACCACCACTGTAAAGACATCTGAACCATTTCACACCAAACCACTCTGAATCTCTCTGTTTACATCTCACACACTTATGAGTTATGGGGGAA